TTCCCATCGCCCGTGCCCGTCCTTGCTGGGGCAGCAGGGCTGTGGTCGGGTCAGTGCCGCAGTGGGCACACGGTCTGCCCATCCTGCCTGGCACCATGCCAGAGGGCGGGGGGTTCCACCCCCTCCCTGCCTGGGTGCAGCATCATGCCCAGGGGATCTGTCCCAGAGGTGGGTCTGGCTGTGACCCAGGTCCTGCTGGCCCTGCTTGCCCCAGCCCCGTCCTTGCTGGGGCAGCAGGGCTGTGGTCGGGTCAGTGCCGCAGTGGGCACACGGTCTGCCCATCCTGCCTGGCACCATGCCAGAGGGCGGGGGGTTCCACCCCCTCCCTGCCTGGGTGCAGCATCATGCCCAGGGGATCTGTCCCAGAGGTGGGTCTGGCTGTGACCCAGGTCCTGCTGGCCCTGCTTGCCCCAGCCCTGCTTTGTGCCATGGGGGGTGACTCCCAGCACCTCCTGGCTTACACAGGGCCCTTCGAGGATGCCCTGAAGCTCCATGAGTGCATTGCTGGGGGCAGAACCAGCCCCCCCATCGAGGACCAGTGGCTGAGCCCCCCCACGCGGAAGGCCCCCGTCGCCCCCACAGAGGAGCAGCTCAGGCGGGAGCCCTGGTACCACGGGAAGATGAGCCGGAGGGATGCCGAGAAGCTCCTGCAGATGGACGGGGACTTCCTGGTGCGGGACAGCCTCACCAACCCGGGGCAGTACGTGCTGACCGGCATGCACTGCGGGCAGCCCAAGCATCTGCTGCTGGTGGATCCCGAGGGCGTGGTAAGGGCAGGGAGTGGGGTGAGTGATGTGGGACAGAAGTAAGGGCTGAGTGGGAAGGGATGCTGGAGGAGATGGGCTGCAGGGGTGGGCAGCTGCTGGGTTGTTGCACGGGGAACCTGTCTCAGAAGCAGCTCTTCTGGGTTCCCAGCCACTGTGCCCTCCTACCCCCAGGTGAGGACCAAGGATGTGCTGTTTGAGAGCATCAGCCACCTCATCAACCACCACCGGCAGAATGAACAGCCCATCGTGGCTGCAGAGAGCGAGCTGCACCTCCGCCAGGTTGTCCAGAGGAAGCAGTAATGCCAGGGGGTATGTGAGACCCTGACGTGTTCCCCTGGCACCCTGGGGCAAAGCCAGGGCCCTTCTGCACTTCCCTCCTCTGTTTGTGCCTGATCCCTGGGGGAGGCAAAGACACCCCCCACACCCCAGGGTCAGGTTCCTCATCCTACTTCCCAGCAGGACCCTGGCCCCAAAGGACCCCCACCCCACCGCTGCCTCCTCCATCATCCACAGGGGGCCCCTTGCCCAGCTGGACACAAGGACATTTTTTCCACTCATGCAGGTGAAGCACTGCTGGGGTGGGAGCCGGTGGGCAGCCTCGCCAAGGGGGCTGGAGCCTGAACCCCGCTACAGCC